CAGTGCCAGCGTAGCATAGTAATGGGGCCTCACTCCCAGCTCACCCTTGGGAGCACTTACCATGTGCACTTGCATTGACTCAGTTCTCCGTAATTCCATGAGGAATATACATGATTCCTATTTCCATTTTACAGGTGAGGAAGCCAGGGCCCGGGGTGACAGAGCCGGGAGGGGCGTGGTACAAATGCAGGCCGTGGTACAAAAAGTCCAGGATATGGACTGAGGCAGCCTGGCCCCAGAGCCTGAGCTCCTAACCTTTCTAAAATTACCTCCCAACAGCGCCGGGCGCTTCCTGAGCCCTGGCTGCCCTGCATTCCCTCTGCTACTGCTGTTAGCTACTGTCTCCCTCCCTGCCCTCCGCCAGTCCATCCTGCCCTGCGCTGCTAGATCACTGCCCAGCAGCTCCGAGGTCATCACAGGACACGCTCCTTCAGAGGCCTCCTGCCCCTCCACCCCCTGACAGCAGAGCACCCCAGAATGGAAAGATCCTCGAAGCGGAGGGATGTTGCGCTTGTACCTTTTCCAGAAACCCCTGAGCACGCTGCAGGCTGGTTCAAGCCACATCCATCTCCTTCTCTAAGAACAGTGCCCAGCCCAGTGTTGTCCCCATCCCTGTGTCTACGCCTTTGTCTGTGACATGTCCTGGCCTAGAGTCACTTCTCTCTGCTTGCTGCTTTTGGTCCCAGTCTTTAGTCCCTGTCCAAGTCCACCTCCTCCAGGGAGCCTTCCTTGAACACTCCAGCCTGGTCAGTGGAGACTTGTCTGGTCCTGAACTTCTGGAACACTTACAAATACCGATATGTTGGCATTTGATTAGGAACTTTGGGTCTTTTGTTTGTTTTTTGTGGTCCTGGGGATGGAGCCCAGGGCCTTGCTTATTCCAGGCGTGTTCTGTCAACTATATTCCCAGCTCCTGAACTCTGACGTGTCACTTATCTTTTCCTTTGTGTGTTTTGAGTTGATTCCCTGTCCAAAATGTAATCTCTCTGAGGTCAAGAACCTCACCTTAGATGTCTTTCTATCCCCACAGATTATCTAAAATTTCTTGCATATGGTTCATGTGCCATAAATCTCCAGGAGGAAAGCCCCAAAATTGTAATTTGTCAGCATCAAAGATCTGGTTTTTCTTCAGACAGAACTGAAGTCTAGGACCATTTTGGTTTTAAGAAGCAGCTCAGAAAACAGGGTAGATGGGTAGCTTCCTACTTTTGTGTAGCAGTGAAAAATTTCCTTGAATGGACACATCATGGGATCCTGGTGTAAAGCAGAGAGGGGTAAGGTTGCTGTGGACACCTTGAAGTGGGTCTTCTCTATGACCCCCATGGCAGTTCCAGGCATCTCTGGGGAAACCTTGAGCTAGTGTATCCCAGTTTGAAAACCGCTAGGGAAGATCCCACTTATTCACGTAGAAGGATTTAGTAATTTGGCTTGCTGAAAGAAGAAATTAAGCACACTCATTTTATTAAAAGCATATTTGTTGTTGTGTTCATAAAATGGCAATTCAGGGACACACCCCCCCCCCCCCCTTTAGTACAGATTTGCTGTTTTTTTCCTCCGTTAATCTTGTTCGTGCATATTATCTCCCAGGGAAAATGCTTCCACTGGAGCATGCACGGCACCTGATTAAACCAGGAAAAGGGCGTAGTCTCTGCTCTTCTCTTCTCATCTTCAGTCGTAGCCAGGTTCCTGGCACACAGTAGGTGCTCAGTAGCTGAACCCCAAAGGGCTTGAGCCTAATATTTGTATCAGAGAGCCAGGCTGTGCCCCGCCCCCGCGGTTGGTCCAAAGTGAATTTCCCTGTGGCCTTGGCTTCCTCTGGCCTGCCTGCTCCCCCTTCCCCTGTCTACCTGGAGTGGGGCTCGGAGAATATTAGTAAGTTTTAGTATCAGTCTGAGAAAGATTAATTAGGAAGGCAGATTTACTCTAAAAGGTGTAATTAATCCCAAAGCCAAAGAGAGGAGAGTTATGGATTGTCTGCATTGCTGTCGCCTTCAAGTTGTGTGGATAATCAGGAGTTGAGGAGACAAGCACAGACTCATTTTTAAAGTGGCCGTGCTGTGTAGGCCAAACTCTGTAAGGCTCCTTACGTAAGTGGGCTCATGGCCGAGACAAAGGGTCTGTACTGAGCCGGTGTCTGTGCCAGGGAACCGAAGAGAAAACACCAAGCAGACATCCTACCCTGGCTCTTCTGCCTCCTCAGTCATTCATGAATCATGCATCTCCTTCTCTAGTCCTCCCCCCTGACCCTGACCGAAGCATCACCTTGGTCCACTGCCGCCCTAACCAAGTAGTCCTGTAGCCACCAGACTCTGCCCTACCAAGCCCTCCTCCACTCAGTGTCACCCTAAACGTCCATGTCCCACTTAGAAACTTCCGGTTGTGCCCAGGCTCCTTAGCATGGCCCTCAAGATGCTTCATAAATCGGCCCCAACCTCTCCAACCTGGCTGATTTCCTTTGCTCCCCACACTGCCTACGTCCAGCCCCTTGTGTAGGACACACTGTTGACTGCGCTAGAAGTCTCAACCCTGTTGACACCTTTGACTCTGCTGACACCTTATTTTCTTATTTCTTATAATTACTTGTTTTCTTTTCTTTCTCTCTCTCTCTCTTTCTTTCTTTCTTTTTTTTTTTTTTTTTGGTGCTGGGGATTGAACTCTGGACCTTGAGCTTGCCGAGGCAGGTGGTGGAGCCACTGTGCTAAATCCCTGCCCCTGCTTTCTGTTCTCTTAATGGAGACAATGAGCTCCTTCAAAGACTGTAGCTTCTGCATCTTTGTATTCTCCTCTACCTCCCTGTTTTAGGCCAAGCATAATGGCAATCCGATAGCAGCTGATAAATAAGTAGTTGAAACCAACTGGTCAACTAACGATTTCATCAGTGATTGCAACAGGTTTAGATGACTGAGACCCAAACCCGCCCCTCTTCCTCTCAGTCAGTAGTAAATTCAGCTTGAAATATCTGGGGAAAATACTGTGTTCCACTTCTTTTTGCTTTAATAGCTGAGCCTCAGAGGCAGGTGGCTTGGAGAGGAGGGTTATCTGAGAATGGTGAGTGATGAAAACTTCAGACTGACAGCTGCTGATCTTTGCTTTAGCTGATTTTCCCCTTTGCAAATGGTTATTGGCAATTGAAACTGCAAATTTACTATCTGCTCCTCTATGTAAATTGCATTTACATTTAAATTGTGTATTCTTCCAAAGGATGGGGTTACTAAATAACTGGCAGATTAAACTTGAGGAGAGGAAATTGTGCCCCACATCAAACCTGAGACTGAAGTGACATCTGGCTTTTACTATTTCCGTTATTTTGGTTTAATAACAGCATGTGGCATTAAGGGAAGAGAAATTGGATCTACATTTTAATGAAAGGAGGAAGCTCTCAGGATTTAGATACCTTATCATGCTGAATACCTAGTCAATTGGCAATTAAAACTTGCTTCCCTCAAGAAATGTCATAAAACATCTTTGCAGCTCTGGAGAGAATAAAAAACAAACAAACCAAAAAACCCCAAGCTCATGGCCAGAACCATACAGATAAAACCGAGAGAAATGCTCCAAACTCTAAAGCCAGATATTTCAGGATTCCACAGAGTACAGGAATTCTTAAATGGAATAATGCTGACATTAGAATCAGGGATACGCATGAGGTAGATCTTTAAGAAAACAGCTGCAGACAGAACAATTTACACGTAGTAGGGGGCTCAACCCATAGATGTTGATTGCCAGCATCTGGTTTAATCCTTCCTCAACCTGCTTTGTTTTAATTCTCAGAGGTTTGACCAAGAAAATATTTGAAAAATGTCTAATTCATCCCAGCAGTCTCGCTGTTTAAAATGGAAGCAGTTCCACCTGCTGGTTGCTTTTCTGTTGAAAGCAGTTCTGGGAAATGTAAACAAAACGCTTGTGCATCCTAATAACCCAAGCCTATCATTTATTTGCTTTGATGGGAACAAATGTGTCAATTTTCAAAGTCTTTGTTTGGTGAATCCAATGTTTGGATGTTTGTAAACATTACGTTGTGCGTTTGTTTGGAAACTGATGCTCTATTCAGTAACTTTGGAGCCGTGTAGCCTGGGAGCCTTCCTAACCATCGGGTTGCATTCCCTTAGTGAAGTGTAAGTGGGATGGAGCCTCCTGAGGAAGAGACTGGATATAGAAACTTTCAGAGGATAGGGCTCATAATTAATTAGAATGATTGAAAACATTTATATAATGCTCTCTTTACATGTATTGTAACCTGTTGACACGTCGTGACAGTAGGATGCATGGTACTACTGTCATGCCCATTACGGTTGAAGAAGAGGAGACCTATTGGGGATTGTAACTTATTGGATCCTAGTCACCTAGCTGGGAAGTGACAGAGCTGCGATCCGACTCTAGGCAGGCTGGCTCCACTGTTCCCTGAAACTGTTTCACGTGGTTTCCTTCTCTCCCCTTGCATTTAATCAATGCAATGGCATTGTGTTTTCTCACGGTTAGATTTTGTCTTGCATAATTGTTTTTGAAATTGCAGCAGTCTTTCAGGATATGCTCAGGCTAGTAGTCTGCTGTATCTTTCCTTTAACTAAATAAAGCAGCAACGACAAGAGGAAACCTATTGGAATGAGATGACAGCATCTGTCTCAGCTGCCTTATAGGAGCGTCCGGTGAATGAAAAGAGATATAAAGTACTTTGAAAAGGCTCAAATCATCCAACTTCTCTAGTGCATGATTCATTACCTGCACTTCATCTTGATTCTTATTTTCTTAAGGGAGCAATCCTTAACAAATTAATACAGTTTTCTTCCACGTTTCAATTTTCCCTAGAGTCCATGGCCAAATTACCCACCTAGTACTGTGGATCTCTTGATGGTGGCCTAGACTCTGGAGTGTGTTTGACTTCTCTTTTCTCCTTCTCATTTCTTGGCACCATTACCACTTGGCGTCGTAGCAGTTCCTACTTCCTGTGCCTAATGATAACGTCTCTGCCTCTCTTGACATTTTCTCACGGCAGTCTGCCTGTGAAGTCGACCAGTGCTTCCTTCTGTTCGAACTTAGTTTAAATTAATCATCAGATTTTCACATCAATCTGTTGCTATGGGGGTTACTGATGTCACACTGCCAGTATTATGATTACCATAATATCTAACAAGCAGAGAGGGGCTGGTTGCTAGTGGAGACCCATGGGTGAAATTCATCCAGCTTCAGTAACCGGTCCAACTGCATAGACTTTAGATAACCATGTGAAGGGGTAAGTGGATTAATCATCCAGTTGGATTTCATTTGAATATTTTTCTTCTATGTGCGTGTTCCCTCTAGGCAATTGTCTGGTGTCACTTGAAATTGATGAGGACTCTTTGGAAGTTATTTTTGGGAAGCTGGGGAAACAACAGACAGCTGTTTTCAGGAACAGATGTCACAGGATCTGCCTAAGCTAGCTTCCAGTAAAGAAAAAATTCTGACATGCTGAGGTGCGGTGTCCCATTTCTTCCTAGCGTTAGGTTGTTCCTTAGTGGACTAGAAGTGTTACTTCAGCTTCCCAAATACACAGAGAGGAGGAAACTACCATTTACTAAGTGCCTACTATATGCAAGAAAAATAAGTAGAGCTTTAAAGCTGAAAGCTGTTCAACCAGGTGCTCCTGAACACTATCATAAAAGACAATTCATGGCTTTTTCTAGCTTGTATACAATGTTCTTCCTAATTGGACATTGATTGATCACCAATAAAAGCAAAATCATTACTTAAAATTGGTCTAGATCCTCCTATGCTGAGTAATTATCTTGTGGTCATTTTGACTGCAATATTAGAAAGCCTTGAAACACGATAGAAATGAGGTACAATAAGTAAACCCCTAAATTAAAAATCTCTGCTAAAAGCCTTAACAGATGGGTCTGTCTTTCTCACGATTTTGTTAAATGGGTGGAGGGCTTGGTTTTAGGGAGATCAAGAGATCAATGGGATAAAACTGATTAAGCTTGAGGCTGCAGAGGTTTGGAAGCCAGATCAAGACTTGCATAAATCTATATAAATCAATTTGTGTGCCAGAGAATGAATAGTTGACTTTTTTCAAATGCCAATTCAGCAATTACAAAGTCTGCTGGTGGTTAATTAAAAACTACCATCTCGTTATGCTCAGAGTTAAATTGCAAGTGTGAAAACTACTACTGTTTGCATTAACCAAATGCTCTGTACTCTCTGTACTGTCATCAAAAGGAGGGCAGGGATAAATAACTTTTATTTAACTCACTAAAAAAAATCTCTCTCAGCTCTTTCATATTTAATTAACTTCTTACCTTCCCAGAGCTCAAGTCTTATGCAGAGTTCCTGAGCAGTAATGGAAATATTTGTTCATTTTGTCCAGAAGATTTTTCTCACATTAGCTGAGTGGAGAAGTAAGAACATTGGGTAAAAAGACACCCATTGAAAGCTTTGTGTGTTAGCAGGGGCTGATGGCAGAAAGCGGCGGAAGTGGTCATGTGTGCTTCGTGACCACATACCTCCAAGAGTGGGAAGATGGCTTTGCAAACCCTTTTGTGGGTGAGTAAAGCTTTAGCACTTATTCATAAGGCTGTCTTAATGAGTTCAGTGTTCTACCGTTTCCAGGATTCCACTGTCAGAAAAGAGGTCACCATGGTGGATGTGCAGTGTCTGAGTGATGGGGAATTGCAGAAGCAATTTAAGAAGCCTGGGTTTTCACCTGGCCCGATACTGCATATGTATACACAGACATAGGGGACTAATATATAAGATATAGGGGATCATTTACAATCTGCCTGCAAAGATTTAAAACAACCTTTAGGAGGAGGAACATATACAATAAAAAGTGTAAAAATTATGATAAGGAGGCTAGGGATGTAGCTCAGTGCCTAGTACCTAGTATGTGTGGGGCCCTACATTCAAAATCCAGCACCGCCTCCCAAAATGACCAGGAAAACAGAAAATCATACATACAGAGGGAAGAGCCTTACAGTTTAATAAGTGTGGTACCACAGAGGAGGGATTGTTTTTTTTCTTTTTTTCAACAGTGAAAAACCTGATGCTCTTTATCTATATTACCTTGCTTTGTTTTTAGTGTGTGCTCTGTATTAACTATTTACTCATCTATTTATTGTCTATATTCCCCATTCATATGGTAGGATATGCAATCATGGCCATCTTGTTCTAAGATATATTCAATGCCTGACTCTGGCTAATCCAACTATGTATTTGTGGAAGAGAAGTGAGTTCAGTGGCTGTAGGGTCTGCTACATTTAAAAAGTCAAAGGGAGCCAGGCATGGTGGCACCCACCTTTAATCCCAGCTCCCTGGGAGGCTGAGGCTGGAGGATTGCAAGTTTGAGCCCAGCCTAGATGCCTTAGTTATTTAGTAAGACCCTGTCTCAAAATAATAAAAAGGGCTAGGGATGTAGCTCAGTGCAAAGGTCCTGGGTTCAGTCTCCAGTACTATAAAAAAAAAAAAAGTCTGAGTTATGAAATATCTTGAATCCCATAAGATCACGTATAGAAATAGGACAATTTGTTCTCCACATTCTTCCTCAGCTTCCACCAGAAAAGTGTATGAACAAAATTTAGTGCAATTGTCGGTTCCACCACCCTGTGCACCGCCTATGCTGAATGGACCCAGAAAGCCGGACGGATCTAAGGACAAGGATGACAGTGAAGGTACTGCTCTAAGCTGTGTGGCTAGGTAGCAACTTAGCACTTATTCATACCCTGTCCCGCATGATTTATGAAGCTTTAAATAGTGTGCATGCTGACCCGTGAAACAGCCATGTGACCTGTTTGCACACAGAGCAGGGAAAATACGTTCCTGGGCTACAAAAGGAATCTGAAATTCCACGTCTGAATTCACACTGGAGTCTCAGCTTGGGGAAGGACTGGTCAATTTGTGTATCCTTTAACAAATTAGGGCCAGATACATGTTGATTCCTTAAAACCAGAAGTTCCTACAGATAAATTCCAGGCTTCCTTTGAGATCTCCACCTCCTCTTTGTCTCAATCAATACATTTGATCATTATTTTCTTTGGATTAAATGATTTCATGTCTATTAAGAAACATGAACCAGCCTGTACCTCCTGAACCCCTCCTACGCCAGATGCCCTCGTGATTTACATGGGAGCTGACGGCTGCTGGTCCCTTTTGGGTCACAGAGTGAGTGGGTGGGGGGCAGTGGTCTCTGGGACCCCTGGGCTTTGCTTGCAGTGGTGCTGGCCCCAGGAGCACATTCTCCTGCAGTGGGTTCTGGCTTCAGGCTCCAGAGGATGGCCTTGGAGGTTCCCACAGTACATGCCAGCGCTTTGTCACTGCACAGGTAGTTACCAGGAGTCCTCTGAGAGCCATAGTGAAGTAACATTTAGTGAAGGCCACTCATGCATTCCAGGCCTGATGGACATGATCTCATTTAACCCTCAAAACCCTTAGCTGGAGCTCCAAGAGCCGAAGTGATGGGCCTATCATGTAGCTCAGAAGATAAGCACACAATGAAGAGAGCCCTGCAGGGTAAGACCATCTGTCTTCACCACCGTTCTCTGCTTGCAACTAGAACAGTACCAGGCACAAAGCAAGAATTCAGTATATGTTATGTTTGTGGAATGGAAGTGACAGAACTGAGATTTGAACCCAGTACTGGCTCTCAAAATTGTGCCTTTTCCACTACATACTCTACCCTTTTCTCATGATGTCGATTGTGAGGATGAACACTTTACATTTTGGACCACATTTGATCTGTGAAAAAGACTGTTTCACATGGTTCATATTAGCAGTTCAACAAAGAATATAAGTGGAAACTCTCCTGTAATTTCCTTTGGAAACTCTCTCCTGTAATTCTGGTACTGAAGATATACAGAGCTTTTCCCAGGGGTTGGGCACAGCTGGACTCATTTGAAAAGGACAGCAAGGTTCAGGACAGATGCACTGGCCCCTGAGTAGGACAGTTAGTGCAAAGGTGCCACAAGGCAAGTGGCAGTCCTGCGTCCCTCCTGGATATTCAGCATGTCTTGTGTCCTGTCCCTGACCTGACCTTCCTTGGAAAGCAGCACAAGGGACTAGACCTGCTGTGGGAACTGTTCACAGCCACCCAGGGTGCAGGTGAAAGGTGCAGAGCTAAGCTGTGACTGTCTCAGCCCCAGACTCCCCAGAGGTGCATTCGTGGCAGGGCTGGGAGAAAACTGGTCTCTTAGTTTGTGAGCTTTGCCACTGTGTCAAAATGAGTCCACCTGCTGGTCCCCTACTGCGGGCCACCAGGTGAGCGGTGGAGAAGCCCTTTCCTGCATCCTTGCTGTCAGTGGCTGGTGATTGCTCCGAGTAGAAAGCCTGGCTGTCCAGGTGAGGCCTGAGCCCTGAACTGTGCTCACTGGAAGAGTCAAAGCTCCTGGTACCATTTGAATGGAGGGCTGAAATGCAACTGATGGAGGCGGGGGGTGGAAATCCAGCCTTGTGCATTTCACAAAAACATCTAACTCTGGGGTAGGGAAGTGCTGGGAGGGTGAGGACAGGGAACTCTAGACCTGTGGCTGAGCCTTAGGTCATCCAAACAACCAGTGAGTCTGATTTTTCTTACTTTTACTCCCTGTTTGGACAGTGGGTAGACATTGCTTTTGTTATCTAATCTCTTCAAGTCTCCATTCTTTTTGGTAGTGATATTGGGGATTGAACCCAGGGCCTTCACATTCCCAGTCCTTTGTTTTATTTTGTTCTTTGTTTTGAGACAGGATCTTACTAAGTCATCCAGACTGGGCTTCAGCCTGCAGCTCTCCTGCCTCAGTCTCCCAGAGTGCTGGGATTACAAGCATGCAACACCATGCCCACCTCCCAGATATTTTTCACATGGAAGGCTCATTTAAAACCTCCTTGTTGGGCTGGCGATTTAGTTCAGTGGTCCCGCCGCCTGCCTCACAAGCCCGAAGTCCTAAGTTTGACCCCCCAAAATAAAAATAAAATAAAAAATAAAACCTCACTGTTAAAAGCCATGCTGAAGGTACAATAGCTCATGAATCCTCCAAGGTGATCAGAATGCCTCCCACAGTAGGGCTGGGGATGTAGTTCAGTGGTAGAGTGCTTGTCCTGGCCTATAGGAGGCCCTGGGTTTGATCCTCAGCATTGCAACAACAAACATGCTGACTTCTCCTGCTGCCCCCCTCCAAACCACCCCTTGGTAGTCTGAGCATAGGTCTGGCCTTTCCTTCCCTTCCTGGGTGTCTTTTGGATACAGCTGGAGAAAATCCCCCTGCCTTGTCCTGCCATTCAGGACTATGCGGGGCCTACAGTGGATTTGCAGGGACAACGAGCAGCTGCAAAAAGCCACCAGATGAGCAGCCAGCTCTGCATTTCTCCTGGAGGCATACAGGGATGGCAGGCAGCCGTGTCCCCAGGGGAAGGTAAGCATGTCTCCCCATGCTCAGGTGAAAAGGTCTTTTCCCTCAGAAGGGCACCATTGATTTTCTTCCCTTCGCAAAAGTGCCCTGTGATTATGGACATCGCCCCAGTGCTTGGTGTTTGTTTCCTTCGCTGCCTCCTATGGTCACATGGCCTATTTTCCTTTTGTTTCCCATGATCCAGAGCTTATTATCCCTTTGAAAGGAGATCTCAGACTCTCAATAGAAAAAAGCAAGGATTCCAAAAAAGTATGTATAATTCTAATGTACATATTAAAAATAGGAAATAGCATTTTTCATATATATTAAGAAAGGCAAATAACATCACATTCTGCTAGAGTGGTAAAATCCTAGTTTCAAGAAAATCATTTGAGCTGGTGTGGTGGTGCATGCCTGCAACCCCAGCCACTCAGGAGCCTGAGGCAGGAGGATCACGCTGGACAACTTAGCAGAACCCTGTCTCAAAATGAAAAGGGCTGAAGAGGTAGCTCAATGGCAGAGCACACCTGTCTTCAATCCACAGTACCTAAAACAAAAATGAAAAACAAACAACAAAATCATTTGAGCATAGGCTTCTGTTTTGTGAAGCAATGTTCAGTTTCTAGCAGAGAACCCAGACTCAGAGGTCCTGTTCCTGCAGAAGAGCTGCCACCCTGCTTCCCCTGCCTTTCCCCTCCCTTTTCTCCCCGCTGGCTTCAGATTCACACTTGCAGATAGCGTTGAGCCAGGCTCTGTGGGATGGATGTGAGTCTCACCCCTTCTCCTTCCCAGATGTCAATCCCTGGCTTCCACCCCACCACCGTACTGAAGCAGGAGGCCGAATGTGAGGGCACCGTGCTTCGGGGTGAGGCCGGGCTGGCTGAGAGGCCTGTCCCTTCCTCACTCTGTGCCCGCTTGGAGAGTCAGGTGTATGTGTGAGCTTCCTCGTGCAGTTAAGCAGGACCCAACTACAAGCATAGCTCCAGCTCTCTGCACAGAACTCCATCCAGAGCTGGACTGTTTCTGTTACAACCTCTGTCCCCTCGTCACCCAGCTGCTGATCCTTGTGTCCCTCTTACATTTTCCTCCCATGCACCTTCACCCCAACTGTTCTACATGCCTGGAATCCTCCTCACACTTCCTATGCTTTACCTATTTCCCCCCTGTTAAAATCCCATGGTTTTCTTAAGGAATGTCTCAAAGGCCGCCCATGTGAATCCCTTTAAAAGTGGCATTTTAACCTATTCACTAACTGTCATAGGCCCCAAGCTTACCCACCCACCTAATCTACCAAACAGCTCTGGTGACAAATAGCTTAGTTTGCAAATGTGTTCTAGTATTTAAACTACCTGCACCGTTTAAATAAATGCAAAGAAACCCAGGTAAACATGGCTGCAATATGCTGTCACATTAGCTTCCCATTTAAACATAATTCAGATTTGATGAAGTAATTCTGTTAGCATACCAAATTTTCTAAAAGGATTTGAAAGTCTTCCAAATGGGTCATTAAAAGAGTCCTACCCATTCAGTAAGCCTTGGTTCTGCAGAAAACCCTTTTGTCTAGCTCTTGCAAAGAGGTTGAGAGTATAAAAATCAACTTGAGTGTATCAAAATGTATCAAGTGGGACCAGCACCCTTCAGTCATTGCTTTACATAAACCTGAAATAAAACCACATCAATATTTTGAATTGGCAATAGAATTAAATAGAAAGTTTGTTATGGCATAAAATCTTTTGATATGAAGGATTTATTTAAGCCATTCTGTTTCTTACAAGGGCCCCAAGACATCTGTTCAAGTTTAAATCTGAAAGTAAATGTAAATAAGCATTTAAATTTCCATGTAAAAAGCAGTAGAAAGTGTGTTTATTGAGACACTTGTCTTACACTATAGACTTTAATTACTCAAGAGCAACGGTCTGTACCTAACAGTCTTCTAAGTGCCTTTCTAGGTAGTATTTGCATTTTTTCAAAACACCCTGTTTCCCCCTCATTTTTGTAGATTTCTAGTGGAATGCAAGTGACTTTGAGAGTTGGATCATGTCAATTTCTGGACTGTAGGAGCATGTTTCAGCAAATCACATACACAGTCTACTGACTTGGTCATTTAGCCCACTCAGAAAGCCATGTCAGGACGGGGCACACCTTGATAAGAGTGCTTGCCTAACATACTGAAGACCCTGGGCTCCATTCTGCAAAAATAAATAAGCAGAAAGTGGAAAAAAAGTCAGGTCATTTTCTTTTTTTAATTGGGAATATTTTTCATCAGAAAAATACTGGCCATAGCCTAAGTTTGCAATGATGGAACAGGAGCTAAGTCAACTTGTGTGACCGAGGCTCTAAGTCCCTTTCTACCAAAGAGAGAATGGAACTGGGGTTTGAGTAATCTGACCCTGTGATGTATCATCCTGACCAGGATGCTTTTGAGAAGGAAAGGGACACAAGCCAGAGGGATGCTGGAACAAGAGGAGCAAACTCGGACCATCCTAGGCAAGCAGGGACTCACAGGGACTCTGGGTTTGGGGCAGCTCCAAGGGTTGAAGTGTTTGTACACACACTTGGAAGGAGGGGCTGCCATATCCTGCTCCCAGAGGGAGGGTGGTTGCTCCTGAGCCCCCCCGGCCCCATCTGGGTGTTTCCTTATCGCTCCCAGGCACAGCATGGTCTTTGCTACTAGAATCTCAGTTCCTTCTCTCCCCCTACCCTGAATGCTCTCTTTTGACCTGCTACCTATCCTACCCCCTGAGCTAGAGTTCGTCAAAGTGCTTTCTGTATATCTGGGCCCAGGAATCTGCTTTTTCAAACAGCCTCCCCCTACCTTCTTGCCAAAATCTTTTGCTCTAGGTTGTAGAATGTAAGCAAAAAACTCATACTGTTGACTCCTCTGCCTTTAATTCAGTGCAAGGCTTTGTTGGGGGGTACTCTCCCTGTTGGCTGCACAGAAGGAACCTTTGTCCTCTATATGAATATTGACAACCTCACCACTGAATTTTTCTGTGCCATGTGTGTTGTCTCTTAGACCTTATGGCATTCTCTTGAAAGCCAGTGCTTCCTTCATAGCAAATCAAAGACCATAGAGAATGGTCATAGCAGAGCTTCTACCTCTGGCTCTGACTGTGGGTAACAATTATTATTATTATTTTTTGGTACTGGGGATCGAACTTGGGACCTCGCACTTGCAAGGCAGGCGGCCACACCACTGACCTAAATCCCTGGGCCAACAATTATTTTTTGAGTACAGGACATTTTTCTTCTTCTCTTTCTCCTTTTCCTCCCCTTCTCCTCACCCCCCCCTCCTTCTCCTGCTCCATGGTGGGGATTGAACTGGAGCCTCACACATGCTAGGCAAGCATTCTTCCATTGAGCACCACCCTCAGCCTGTGCTAGACCTTCTTGAGGAAGAAGCTAGTTGCAGAAGGTGGTATGGATTCTGTCCTGAAGAAAGTTAAAAACGAGCTCTGGATACAAAGGGTATGTGTAACAGAAATAGAGTCTAGAGCCAGCCTACCTGGGCTCAAATCCCAGCTCTGCTACTCATTTGACCAAGACCCTCCACCTTGCCGTATCTTAGCTCTTACCCATAAATAAGAATAATAATGGTTTCCTGGGCCCTCATTCCTTCATTTAACCTGGGGGCCTTGTGCAGAGCAGTCCTGGTACTGGGTATGGTGGACAGGTAGGTGTTGAGCCAACTGCAGGGTGGATGTGTCCTGCTACCAGGGTCAGCTTCCTCCAGCCCATTCAGAGCAGATGACAATTTCTTTTCTTTTTTTTTTGTACCAGGGATTGAACTCGGGTTCTTGCGCTTTTGGGACAGGCAGTGGAACCACTGAGCTAAATCCCCGGCCCCAGGTGACATTTTCAAAATTTTGAATTCTGGAGTCTACTCAGTGTGCAAGAACAAATTTACTCTTCAAAAGGAGATAACAATTCAGCTTTGACAACACAGCTACAATTCCAGTGTCTGATCCAAGTTGGCAATATGGACAAAGGAACAGGAAATAGTCCCCTGGAGGGAAAGAAAGGTGTCTGTGGAGACTAAGAAGGCAGTGGCCCCAGTACTGGATTCAGAGTACAAAGACTTATGAGCAAGTGATAGGAGCAAGTCTGAGTTCTTGAAAGAAAGGCAGGACCTTATGTTGGACAACATAAAGGAGACCATTAGAAATAACATACAGGAAATTTTAGAAACAAAACTCACAATACTTGAAGTGAAAAATTCGAAGAACTCCAGTAGCAGGAAAGAGTGGTGGAAAGTAAAAGACTTAGCTTCACCAAAAATAGAGTTGGTGAAGAAAATAGAAAAAGACTCAAAATTAAGTGAGGATATTGAAAACTTGACCTTTAAAAGAAAACTAGATGAGCTGAGTAGAAAAGTAGACAAAGTTAAAAATCACAATGGGGGCCAAGATACGAAATTACTTCAAAATTACAAAGTAAAAAAGACTGGGGGGAGGTGCCTAGTGTAGTAATGACAACAGATGGAGAAATCATGATGTCCAGGTAGAAGTTCCAGAAAGAGAAGTCAGAGAGAATGGAGAGTGAGAGCCAGCAAAACAAATAGGAGAGAGAAAAAACCTTGAGAAATTGAAGAATTAAGAAGAAAAACCACTGACAGATGAAGAGGCCTTCCTGACCCTTACTGCAGACTTCTCATCAGCAACACTGGAAGTCAGTGAGCAATGGGGTCAGATCTTCAACATTTTGGGAGAAAATAGTTTTGACCCTAAATTTCTATGCAAGGTTGATTTAGAATTTAAATGTGATGTTGAAATAAAGACATTTTTAGACCTGCAGAGCCTCAGAAAATTTACCAGCCAAAAGGCTTTTATGAAAGATTTGCTGAAAGATGTTCTTCCACAGAATCCAAACTCACAATGAGGAAAAAGACAATATGGGATGCAAAGAAAAGTGGATAAACCCATAAAAGCCTCAGAGTATGAAGCTGGAGACCCAGCAGGCAATGGTTTGAACTTCCTGTTCATTAAAGAGGTGAAGGTTGGTAGGCCACAGGAGGAGCTCAATGCCTTCAGGATGGAAAGGCAAAGAAAGATGCAAGATGGAGGAGCAGAAGGCCTTGAGGCTAGAGGAGGAGAAAGAAGAAAACTCTGGAGTGGAGGAGGAAGAGAAGACAGAGGGAGAAGAAAACTCAGAGATAGAAGAGGAGGGAGAAGGAAACTCTGAGATGGAGGAGGAGCAGGAGGAAGAAGAAAACGCAGGAATGGAAGAAGAGGAAGAGGAAGAGCAGCAGCAGGAAGGAGAAAGAAACCCAAGCACAGAGAGAGAGGAGGTCTCAGTGTTGCATGAGGAACTTGCCTGTGGTTATTTGGTTGGGGAGAAGGAAAAGTTGAAACCCCAGGAGGTACACAACACTGAGGAAGAGGAAACACCTGCTTCTGGAGGTCAAGGAATTGAGATATCCTGTCTGACTTTGCATTTGACCTCTCTCTCAAAATCACTAGAGAGAGCCAGGGATTTAGCTCAGTGGCACTGCATCTGCCTCAAGTGCAAGATCCTGAGTTCAATTCCCGGTACAAAAAAAAAAAAATCACTAGAGAGAAGTTCTGATGAGCATGAAAAGCGTTCATGCACAAATCTGAGTACTACATCAGGAATCGCAATTTTTAGGGAAAACAGAGAAAGAGAGACACAAAACCCTGCAAATAGAAGAGATGACATGTAAAGAAGCAGAGTGAATCCAGGAAACAGAAGAAAACTTCAGAAGAAGAGTGATCAGCATTTCCAGAGAGATACAAAAGGAGATTGAGAATATAAGGAAATACTATCCAGATGTCTTGGAAAGTAAACATTCAGCAGAAGATCTGCAGCGCAGCATAGGTATACTCAAGGAGAGAATGAGTAATCTAGATGACCAAATGGAAGAAGTATATAAGGATACAGTGAAAATGTCTAAGCACCTAATGAATAAAAAACTATGAGCTGGGCCGGGGATTTAGCTCAGTGGTACCGCACCTGCCTCGAAAGTGCAAGGTCCTGAGTTCGATCCCCAGTACCAAAAAAACCCTACAAGCCGAAGACCATAGACACTGAACCTCCAATGTTCATTTGACAGGAGTTCCAGAAAAAGATACAAAAGAGGACAGAGCAGGGGCTATAAGGACAATAACTGAAGAAAACTTTTCAGAACTAAGGATGCACTCAAGTCTTGAGGTTGTCGGTGCTCATCGCATCCCCAGCATGGTCTGTGAGAGGAGACCCACTTCTAGACACATCTTGGTGATGTCCTGGAGTCCCAGTGAGAAAGAGAAAACCCTGAAGGCTTCCTGAGAGAGAAGAGAAATCACCTACAGCAAACAAGAATCCTGCTACCGCAGACTTATTGCTGAGCACACTGGATGCCAGGAGTCAGTGGGACAATATCCTAAAAGCCCTGCAGGAGAAGGGCTTCTAGCCTCAAATCCAGTGTCCAGCCAAACTGCTGTTTGATTTTTGAGGGAAAATCAAAGACATTTTTTAATATTGGTGAATTCAAGAAGTTTATTTCTCATGTACCCTTTTTGAAAGAATTACTAGAGAATATACTTTAGCAACCTGGGTTTTTGACAACAAGTTACAAAATGTGCTTTTCCCCTACCACTGCAATCCAAAAAGTTAATGAGTAAAACATCACATCCCCACCCAGAAGGGTGGCCAACCAACAGCTCTTCTTGGAGATGCGGGAAAGGAACATTACTACCTAGATGTTGTTAAAGGATATATTTTAAAAATTAATGATGATCAAGGCAGGCATGTTGACACATGTCTGTAATCCTAGCACTTGGGAGGTTGAGGCAGGAGAATCACTGTGAGTTCGAGGACGCATAGTGAGATCCTGTCTCAAAAAGCCAAAACCAGAGCTGGGGATTTAGCTCAGTAGCACTGCACCTGCCTCACAAGCACAAGGTCCTCAGTTCGATCCCCGGTACCACAAAAAAACAAGCAAATTAAAACAAAACAAAAACCCCAAAATTAATGAGGACCATCATAGCTTGTATAGGAGCTTTTTTTTTTTTAAACTGGAGGATGAACTCAGGGTTTTCACACTGAGCTATGTTTCTGGCCTTTTTTTATTTTCTTATAATGAGATGAGTCTCACTGTGTTGCCAGTCTCAAACTCATGATCCTCCTCATTAGCCTCCTGCATAGTTGGGATCCCAGCTTGAGAGGAGGGTGTGTCATCATCTATACCAGAAAGCTTTTTCATTTGTAAAAAAATAAGGATAATAATGGTCTCAGCATCAGAGCTTGCTGTGAAGACTGAGTTAAAGTTGAGTTAAAAAGTTTGTGTAAAGCAGAGCTGGGGTTGTGGCTCAGTGATAGAGCACTTGCCTAGAATGCTTGAGGCCCTGGATTCCATCCCCAGCACTGCACAAATGAAAACAAACAACAAAAAATTAGACCTCACCCATTCCCTTTAGCATCCACAGGCAACTTTGGCTGAACTGACGTCCAGTACAATGGCCTACTGAGGTTTCCTCGCAGTCCTACCCCCACTAGTTGGTCTTCTACTGCAGAGCAGGTCTTTCCCTTCTCCCCATTTATTCATTCCCTCCCTCACTCTATCACATTGATTTGAACTAATCTGTTCATTTTCTCAGTGGGTTGTGTCCACTGATATTATTTTAATGCTCAAATTATCCCAGATCTGCTCAGTGGGAGCCTCTTCAAGATGGATACTGTGTCCTTTGACAAATCCTAATCATTCTTTGAGCCTATCTTGAAATTCTAGCACAAAGTGTTTCAGAGCCTGCCTTAGGAGCACTTTTACTGAAGGATGATGCTTAGAAACCAAGGTCTAGGCCTTCAGGGAGCTCCATTCCTACTGGGTGTCATTGCTTCTAGGTCCTTTCAGTGGGTAGAACTAGAAAATAAATGTATTTTCCGGCATGTACAAATACAGGCATATGTCTGTGACTATTTTATGTATGCATGTGTGTACATATAACATTAAAACTCATGAGTTCATATTGATCTCCAATTACAATCCAACATTTCAGTGTTCTTTCTAACCATTCCCCTTTGCAAATCATTTCTGACCATGATTCCTTTATTCTCAGTGCATTCATATTTTTGCCCAATTCTCTAATTTTCTTTGTGTAACCAGTCTCCCAGTCACCTCCTTCTCTGCAGAATCCCCATTGCTGTCTCTGTGACCCCTGAACATAATACTCCACGTGGTCCTCGCCTCCTGTCCCCTCCCTTAGCTGTAGCACACACTGAGGCTCCTGTGCCACCTGTACCACCTGCTCCAAGCCTCCAACCACCAGGCACTGAAACCCTCCACAGCCCTGCCATTCCACCCCCCAACCTCATGGCTTTTGGGCACACCTGGGTTCCTGTCCCCTCTGCCCTGTTTCCTTAGTGTGCAGGGCACGTGGACACCCAGGGGTGGAGAAGCTCCTTTTGGCTTCCAATTCTAGGTTGTTTCAATGCCTTGGTGCCAACACTTTAGTGGGATTGTTACTCTCTGTGTCTCAATTCCTATTGTTGCTTGTAAGACACCTTGCAGGGCTGCAATTAGCATGTGCGGGGCCTACTCAAATGCACCATCTGAAAGCCCAATGTGATAGGAGAATGTGTATTAAAGGACTTCAATTAAGTGTCTAGATGGAGTAGCTTACAAAGGTTTTAGAAGACCTGATGTTAAACATCTTTATAATAGTTTCTTAATTAATTGAAAACATTCTTATTCCCAATAGGAGTTGTATATCCTAGTTGGGTCAAAGTGAAGAGTAAATTACATATTCTATAACTACTTAATAAGCTCTTTCTTCGTACCTTTGACATGTGCTAATGGGAGCTAAATGCCATCCTTACAAGGAACAGAATGTAACATTCTTCCTTAAAAATACTGACCTCCCAGGAGAGAAGGTTTGGATGTGCTTAATGATCAGGGTGTCTTAATCTCACTGATTATGTTTTGATCTCTTTCTGCATAACAGAACCCAGTCTTTGAAATTCAAGAGAAGCAGGAAGACATGCTGAAACCAAAGTCTGGTTGTAATAATTTCAAGATGCTAAGAAAGGTAAACTATTACTTATTTCATAAAATTGAGTTATGAGTAGTAGCGTTCTTCTTCTGTAGAAAAAAAATATGAATTTGTTTAGAAAACCCACCTTTCTTGTTCCTTTCTTCTAAGAATACACCCGTACTGACTTTAGCCAAGTTATCATTTGCTTATGAGACTAGATTTGTCCTTACTTCCTGTGAACCTGTATAGGAAAAACCAAGAGCTTCATTCGTTTGTTTGGTTGTTTTTTGTTTTTTGTCTTTGGTGTTGGGGTCAAACCCACAGGTGCTCTGCCACTGAGCTATAGTCCCAGCCCCTGTGAGTTTTTAAAGTTTGAACCAGCATCTCATTAAGTTGCCCAGGTGAGACTTGAAGTTTGATCCTCCTACCTTAGCCTTCCAAAGTCCAAGAATTATCTTAAACCCTTGGGATGTCTCAGCACTCCCTGAGCACAGAGTTTCATCCACCATAATTCGTGAGTCCAGGCATGACTTATTGTTGATTTCGGAATTTCCTATAGGAAAGGTTGGAGGAGGAGGTTATGTGGCTCATCTTACAGACGGAGGAACAGGCAGGGAGAGGATGTAACATGCTCAGCATTGCCTGCAGCCCGTGATTGGCCATACCTGGGTTATAATAAAAATTATTTTTGAAATAAGGGAAATTTTGTTACTTATATACATTAACTATATTATCTATTTTATGTATAGTCCAAGACCATTCCTCTTCACTTAAATCCCAAGCAAGCCAGCCACGTCCAACCCACAGTGACCAACCAGAGGAAAAACAACCAGAGTGATAAGATAGCTCCCCCCAGTGTTCTTTTCCTGGTATTGCAGAAAGACTTGGGCCATCTGTTCACAGAAGATACTACAGACTGCCTTTCTGACGGTTCCTTTGCAATGGAAGTCCACAAGGCACACTTTCTGGTGACCCTTCGCACATTAAAACCATGGTGCAGAAATCAGAACAGTTGGAAGTAGGCTGACATATATGTAGATGGATAGCTGGAGTTTGCCCAAGTGGAGTGAAAAACAATTTTGGATCTGGATGTCTTTTTGGTATTTTATTATAAAATATCTTATGCATTTGAAAAAGAACAAACAATGCTATAATGAGAAGGTGAATTGCAACTCCAGAGATTAAAACATAAATAGTTGCTAAATCTGTCAAAGACCTCAAATTGTCCTTCCTAGATCACATTCACCTTCCTTCCTTTTTTTTTTTTTTTTTTTGGTACCGGGGATGGAACTTGAGTCCTTGTGCTTGCACAGCAGGAGGTGAAACCACTGAGCTAAATCCCTGGCCCTCACCTTCCTTCTTTTTCCCCCAAAGTAACCATTATCCTGAATTTTCTTATTCTTTCCCTCTTCTTTACAGTATCCATTTAGTTTAGTTTAGTTTTTTTTTTTTTTTTTTTACCATTTTGGATTTTATTTTATTTGTTTATATTTATTTATTTTGGTTATATTTTATTTTAGTGGTATCATAGTCTAAGTTTTCTCTGTGGCTTCCTTTTATTGTATGGCATTGTGTGTGGGCTTCATCCAATATTTATAGCTCTACTTCATTTTCACTGCTAAATAGGATTATTGTCAAAATACACTTATTCATTCTGTATTTGTTAGATATTTGAATTAGTTCCAAGTTTTTTTTGGTTTTTGTTTTCCGGTGCTGGGGATTGAACGTAGGGTCTGAAACATGGCAGGCAAGAGCTCTGTCACTTGAACATAACAGTCATCCTTAACCCTCTACATTTTTCTATCACCATTATTTAATGTTCTTAGAAACTTTGTGGTACATAATCTGGGGTGTGCATATGCAAGAATTTCTTAGTTGCATGAATGTACCTAAGCACAGAACTGCTGAATTGAAGGATATGCACATGTTCAAATTAAGAGATCAAGCTAAAATACTCTACAAAGTGATCCTGTTATTTATGTTCCTACCAACAATATATTAAGAACTATGTTGTTCCCTCGCCTGCCTTGCAAGTGCAAGGACTGGAGTTTAATACCTGGTACCAGAAAGAAAAAAAAAAAAGAATGCAGTGTTAGGGCTGGGGATTTAGCTCAGTGGTTCCACTGCCTGCCTCATAAGTGCAAGGACCCAGGTTCAGTCCCCGGTACCACAAAAAAACCCCCCAAAAAACGAACTACATTGTTATAAATCTCCAAAGTTTAGTCTAATTTCCAGACTTAATTTTTGTCAATATGATGAGTGTAAAATGGTATTTCATGAGTATAATTTGTATTTCTACTGTTACTAGTAAGATTTGACATCTTTTCACACATTTATTGGTTATTTGTATATTTTTCCCTGTGCAATGCCTGTTCATGTCTCTTGCCCATTTTTTTAGTACATTGCTTGTCTTTTTCTTTTTAATTTATTGAAGTCTTTATACCTTGTGGAGACCAAGCCTTTGTTAGTGACATGTCTAGTGCTTGTCTTCCAGTAGTCTTTTCACTCCTTTCTTGGTGCCTTAAAAAATGTTTTTGGTAGTTTTTTTTTTTTTTTTTTTTGGTACCGGGGATCAAACTCAGGTCTTTGTGCTTGTGAGGCAGGTGGCAGAATCACTGAGCTAAATCCCTGGCCTTATTGGTAGTTTTTATTTCAAAATAATTTCAAACCCTTGGAAAGTTTCTAGGGAAGAATTCTTGTGTGATCTTTACTCAGATTCACCAATTGTTAAAATTTCCCCTCATTTGCTTGATACTTTGTCCTATCTTTTCTTCTGAAGTATTTGAGATAAATTTCAGACATCATGATTTTTTACACCTTCCTCCAAAATTTCAGTTTGTATTTCCTTAGAATAAAAATATAAAGATACCCACTTATATAAGCAAAGTAACAATAACAATCAAAATTTTTGTGACAAAATTTATGCAACATAAAAACAGGTCAACGACAGTGCATTCATAATGCTGTGAAAGCACCAAGTCTCTCTCAGTTCCAAAACATTTTCTTTTTTTTTTAAACATGATTTGTTTGATTTTTTTTTTGGTATTGGGGATCTAACTCGGGACCTTGTGCTTGCGAGGCAGGTGGTGGAACCATTGAGCTAAATCCCTGGCCTCTCTTGTTTGATTTTTTAACTTTGGTGTAATATAAGTAGATACTGATAAAGAAAATATACAAACACTCTTCTTACTAATGTGAAAAAACCAAATTTTTGTAGCAAAATAATTAGAGAATAACAATGGTTAATATACTGTGTATCATGATCTTAAAAGAATGGCCAAAATGTTATTAGAGTACAAATCATAAACAAAAAAAGATTCTCTTTTGCAAAGTATAAACAAATAAATAAAAAGACTACTTCATTTTTCAATGCACAAAGGAAATGCAGTATTATACAATGTAGTATTACGAAACAAATTAGCATTTCTCTTAAAATATTTTTGAAACAACAAAATAGATAATTTGGGCTTCTCCCTTCTTCCTATTTATCTATTAGAGAAATACAAATTAAAACTACACTGAGATACCATCTTACCCCAGAAAGAATGGCCATCATCAAAAAACCAAATAACGAATGCCAGTGAGGATGTGGGGGAAAAGGAACTCTTTCATTGTTGGTGGGAAGGTAAATTAGTACAACCACTATGGAAATCAGTGTGGAGATTCCTCAAAAGATTAAAAGTAGAAATTCCATTTGATCCAGCTATCTTCCTTCTAGATATCTTCCCAAAAGAGTTAAAGTCATTGTATTACAGGGATACCTCCATTGGTTAATAGACATTTAAGTTGCTTCTGTCTTTTGGATATTGTGAATTGTGCTGCTATTAACTCTCATGTGAAAGTATGTGAGTATCGGATTTTAATACTTTTGGATATATACCTAGAAGTGGAATGGCCAAATCACATGATACTTCTATGTTTAGCTTTTTGAGGAACTGTTAAATTGTCTTCCACAGTGGCAGGACTATTTTACATTCTCATCCCAGTGTATGAGGGTTCCACCTACCCAATATCCTCACCAACATTTGTTTTCCTTTTTCAAAAATTAGCCATTCTAGTAGGTGTGAAGTGGTATTTCACCGTGGTTTTGATTTCCATTTCCCTCCTGAGTAATGATGTTAAATATCTTTTTATGTGCTTGTTGTCCATACATACATCTTCTTTGGAGAAATGTCTTTTAAGTCCTTTGCTCGGTTTTAGGAGGCCAGTGCTTTATCCATTAGGCTACTGGGGCTTCTCATTTGCCCACTTTTAGACCATGTTTTGTTTTATGTGAGTTGGGCTGGGTTGGGGGTTTTTTGTGCAGTACTGAAGATTGAACCACCCAGGGCATTGTACACGCTGGGCAAGCAGTCTACCATTGACATACATACCAGCCCTTCTTATTCTGAGACAAGGTCTCTAAGTTACCCAGGCTGGGCTCACATTTGCAGTCCCCATACCGCAGCTCTCCAAGTAGCTGGGATTACAAGTGTGCACGACTGCAGCCAGCTGCCGTCTATCTTTTGTTGTTGAGTTGTTCTTTGTATATTCTGAATAATAAACTTGTCAGAATATGATCTGTAAACATTTCCTCTGTTCTGTACATTGTCTTTGTACATTCTTGGTAATGTCTTTTGATGCAGAAATTTGATGTGATGTATCTTGGCCTGGATTTCTTTAGGTTTATCAAATTACAATTCATTTAGCTGCTTGAATCTGAAGATTTGTGTCTTTTGCCAAATTTGGGACACTTTTGGCAGTTATTTCTTCAAATACTTTCTTCAGACCCATTTTACTTCTCTCTCGGGACTCCGCTAACACAAATGTCAGGTTTTTATTATAGTCCCATAGGACCTGGAGACTCCCCAGCCTCAGCCTGATTTCTCTGTGGTTCATTGTGGATGCTTTATATCATTCTGTCTTCAAATTCACTGATTTTTTTATCCTCTCCATTCTATAATTGACCCCATCTACAGAGAGGTTTTTGGGGGTGGTTATTTTGTTTGGTTGTTGTACTGTTTTCAGTTCTAAAATTTACACTTCTTCTCTGTACACTCTACCTCTCTGCAGAGAGTTGTGCTTTGTTTTGTTGTTCCCTTGTTTCCAGCATGTTCATATTGTTCGCTGAAGCATTTTATGATAAGTGCTTTAAAATCCCAGTGAGATAATCCTGATGGTGTTGATGTCTGTTGGGTCGTTTCTGCATCACAAGCCTCTGGGTCTTATGTAAACCGTCGGTGTTTGGCAGACCTGCTTGGACTCCACACCTCTGGGAGAAGAGAGCCACCACCTCTTGGCTGCCAGGTGGGGGAAAGCCCACGTTCCCCACTGGGGACACCTTACTGCGGGGCTGCTGGGGTGTCCCCAGCCCTCCATGGACACCGGGCAGCAGCAGGGTCTGCACACGGTGCGCACATCCAGGTTTCCCATCGCTGGCTGGCAGGGGGCGCTGGGCGCATGGCTGGAGTGGGACCCTTGTCGTCCAACAGTTTTGTCTTCCTAGGCTGCCCCTTTCTTTCCTTCTGGCTTTTCTAGGGGCTTTGGGGGGACCGAGTCTGTGGGCATTTCCAGGTTAACAACCTGTCCAGTACCCAGTCCGGGATGTGTGCTGGGCCTCACTCCTCACTGGTTCACGGTAACGGCTGAGACCTCTCTTGTTTTTGGTACCGGGGATCGAACTCGGGACCTCCCGCTTTTGAGACAAGGTCTTGCTGTGCTGCCCAGCGGGTCTCAAACTTGCCACTCCCCCCCCCCCAGCCTCCCGCCGTGGGCCCAGGCCAGCAAACCCACTCCCACCAGCCCTGAGCTGCAGGTCACAGTCTCGGCTCCCCCCCCCCCCCCAGCCTCCCGCGTGCCTGGGGTGATAGGCTTGAACCTTCACGGCCGACTTGTCAGAGCTCTTCACTGCCGTCCTGAATGAGTGCCAAGAGCAGGCATTCTTCCCCTGGTACTGACTCTGAGGGAATACTTAGAGTAATTCTCCCTTTGGTGTGACACTGGGTAGGCTTGGAAGACACCTTTCATCAAATTAGGGAAGTTCCCACTCTATTCCTGGTTTTCTAGATTTTTGTTTTTTGGTGGTACCAGATATGGAACCCAGGGCCTCCACACTGAACTGCATCCCGGTCCCTTTTTAAATTTGAAAATTCTGAGACAGGGTCTCACTAAGTCATAAGCTGCCCAGGCTGGGCTCAACCTTGTGATCCTCCTGCCTCAGCCTCCCTTAGTGCTGGGATTAGAAGTGTGTGTCACCGTGCCAGGCCTGACTTATTTTAAAGTAGCAATGGAGATGATCATAAAGTTTTTAAGCTTTTTGTTGTTAATGTGGTGCAGATTATTTTTAAAAGCTTTTTAATTAATTCAAAATCATTACTGTACTTAGGTTAAAGAACACAATATTTTATTTATTTTATTTTTGGTACCGGGGATCGAACTCGGGACCTTGCACTTTCGAGGCAGGCGCCAGAACCACTGAGCTAAATCCCCAGCCTAGAACACAATATTTTAAATGACAACTTTATTGAATCAAGATTGAGGTATGAGGGCCGGGGATTTAGCTCAGTGTTTCCGCCACTTGCTAAGCACAAGGACACACGTTCGATCCCCAGTACCAAAAAAAACCCCAAAGATTGAGGTACGAACGATGAAGAACGTGCCTGATAGTATAAGATCTTTTTATTCACTGAGTATTTTTGCTCAATAAAGGGATTTGAGGTTAACTCGATTTTACTTTATTTTTAAAATGCATTTTATTTTATTTTGTCCCATTCTCTCCTCAAGCCCTTTTCCCTCCTATGTGCACAAGCTTTGCTTCCATTTTTTCCTCCTATTTTCACTTTTCTGTTTTTCCTTCTGCCTGTAGACAGCTCACAACTGGCAGTGTGGCGTATCATTTGTAAAAATGTCTGATTTTACACATAGGCCTTCGTGTGTGTGAGTGTGTGTGTGTGTCTGTTAACAAAACGTGGGTCAGCGGACTACAGTGACTGGAAGTCTGTGTCATGTTTCAGTTGGAGAGAAAGCTATGCCTGAACCCCGGGGCTCTGGATTCCCCCAAGTCCAAGGATGAGAAGTCCCAGGACAGGAAGCAGGAAGGTAGAAAGCAGCTGCTCTTCCATGGCTTCCCGTAACCATAGGCTTGGCCCACATGTTGGTGAGCTTTGTATCTTCAACGTAAGATATGTACCTTGTGGAAATGCAAACAAACTTGAACTTCTCTACAGACAATTAGTAATGGCTTGAGTCAAGATGGATCATTTTCCAAAATTCAAATATAAGCTGGGTGTGGTGCCACATATGTGTCATCCCACTACTCTGGGAGGCTGAGGCAGGATTCTAAGTTCGAGCCCAGCCTGGGCAATACAGCAACTTAGCAAGAATCTGTTCCAAAATAAAAATAACGAGTGGGGAGGTGACTTAGTGTGAAGACCCTAGGTCCAATTCCCAGCATCCCCCCAAAAAAAACCCCTGAGGTTTATTAGCCCAGTGTTTTATAGTAAACTGTAATATAATACAGTATAACATAGTATCTCATACACAATCCACTTTCAATTCAGTATGATATATATAAGTAAGCCAAAATGAGCAAAACTACTCCACTTGGAAAAAATCTTAGAAAAAGCCAATTTTTCTGAAATATTTAAGTGTAGAATGAATGGCTACAAAGACTTCCACAGGAAATTAATGATTGAATAGTATATTAATTAATGGAAACAGTTTTTAGAAATATATTTTGATATGTTTTCAATGATAGGCTCTCCTAATAGGTTTCCTTCCATTCTTTCTTTCTTTCTTTCTTTCTTCCTTTCTTTCTTTCTTTCTTTCTTTCTTTCTTTCTTTCTTTCTTTCTTTCTTTTTTTTTTTTTAGAGTGTCTCACTGTGTTTCAGCCTGGTTTCCAGCTTACTATGCAGCTCAGGCTGGCCTCTAATTTTCAATTCTCCTGCCTCAACCTCCAGGAATGCTGGTATTACGGGCCTGAGCTATCATACCCAGCTTAGAAATATTTATTTTCAAAGGATTTTGGAAAAAGAAAGTTTTGTGTTAATATCTGTTTGCTTCTTCTTGGTTTATGTTTTGTACTCTTGAGTAACTACTTTGGTTTGTTGTTGTTGTTGTTGTTGTTTGGGGTTTTGTTGAGACAGGGTCTCACTATGTAACGAAGGCTGGCCTCGAACTTGCAGTGATCCTCCTGCCTCAGCCTCCCAAGTCCTAGGATTATAGGTTGCTTGCCACCATCCCTGGCTTGCATAACTACTTTGATGATAATGATACACAGTGTAATAACTCTTCTTCTTCCTCCTCTTGCTCCTCTTCCTCCTCTTCTTCCTCTTCCCCCTCCCCCTCCCCCT